AATATGTCTCAGACTAGTCCTTCATACATGAAAACGTGTACTATCTCACCTATTTCTTTTTGACTTCCATTGAGTCCTATTCTTTCATTTCTAACCTTTTCTATCCACGGTATCCTCTTCATACGCCTATAACACATTTCGAACGCTTCTCTTCGCGTCCCTATAGCGCCACGCTCCAAACATATACTTTTAACAATCTTTTTCGAATTTCTAAATTAACCGTTCGCGAGCTTAGAAGTGACTTTTTTTTACAGAAGGCGACTCGACCCTGCGCTAACCTTTGCTTTATATCCCTACTACTCCCTCCGTCCTGACTTATCCTAGATACCTAAAATAAGCCACTTCTTCTGATTTTTCGTCTCCTATCTTATAATCGCTCTTTCCCTACTTTTTCTTCCCTTGCATACCAGTATTTTTGTTTTACTTTTATTTATTTTCATACAATACTATTTTGTCAATACCGCTTCTACTTTATTTAAAAAAATCTCTAACTTCTCCTTGCTAGATGTTAATACTGCTAAATCATTAGCAAATCTAAGCATACTAATCTTCTGCCCCTGTATATCTATCCATACAGTTGTAGTGTCTTTAATAATGTTGATCGCGTCTTCGATGTGTAGATTAAAAAGTAGCAGTGACAGTATGCATCCGTGTCTGACTCCCTTCCTAATATTTACTTCTCTACGTTGCATCCCTAGCTCTATAACTGCCTGTTGCTCTTTATACAAACTAAGTGTCACTCTTCTGCCTCTGTAACTCATCCCTACATTAGATCTAGGGTACTATAAAATAAGAAATTGAGTAAATTTGTGCTGGTCAGAAGCTTCAATTTTTTTACTTCCTTGGTTGCCAGGACCTAACTTCGCAGGACTTTTTTTATATATGAAGGTGTATGATAGAGCACGCGTATCAAACACCAGTGCACAATATTTATGATGCACAAGGATTGTGTGATAAAATCGCTGCAAATAAAATTCGCGAAAAGTCTGAAATTTTTGCGCAAGTGAGAAATAATTTTGGTAGACGTATTAAAGCCTGTCTTCTAGGTCGCGGTTTTAACTTTCCAATACTATTTTTCCGATAACTCGTCGATTTATAAGCAGTTAATTATTACTTATGTTTACTTTAAGCATTGGAAAACCAGCATTGTTAAGTTCATAATCCATACACCTCCAGATGCTCAGTTATAGCAGTTATACTCAAAGTTAAAGATGTAGTTGTACTGCAGACTACATTCACGTTACCAAAATGCTCCCAAGACTGACTTGGGATCGTAACTAGTTGTGGTTTTCTTACAAATTTTTTGACCCTGCACTTATTTCAAAAACACTTTGAGTAGGCATACTGATATGAAGCACTTTGACTTGCTCAATATCGTCATAATCTTCCTAAATTGACAACTTCCGTCACGGATGTTTATAGCTTATTTGTAATAATTGATGTCCACTGCAAATCAGCGACATACTACACATTATAGAATAAAAATTCAACAGGAAATAGGGGAAAAACAGCATATTCAAATCTAGAAAGATATTAAAATATATATAGAATAATTCGAGTCGAAATGTAAACAAAAATACAGAGAACAAATGTCAACAACTGTCATATCGATTGGTATCAATCATTGCAGATCATTCGGCCATTCAGTCATCAGTACCACCAGATTGACAACATGGAATCTACGAATCATATTATTACATTAATAAAATTCGAAATTAATTATAAGTTTTGCTAGAAATTAACATGACATTTATATTGATTATTAGACGGTACGTAAAATTAACCGCTAAATGCCAGCAGCTTCTCTTCTTTAGTGCCACACTGTATTATTTCAAAACGGACACGTTAACAAGCGAGTCTTGATAAAAAAAAAAGACTTCGACCATCTATCAAACTTTATCTTGGTCTCTCGCGAAAGAACGCGGTCCGATCGCCTTCGATAAACCGGACACAACGATTAAATTTTATTGCAAAGGTCATAATGCCGCTGTGGCAACAGATTATTTTCTCTCGTTTGCGACGTGTGTAGAACACACGGAAAGAAGGACCACCCGCTTGCAATTGACCATTGTTGTTACACTGGTTGTTTATAAATTCCACTGATTTTATTAACGAAATTAAACCTTTGCACTGATGCAATATCGCGTCCAATATATAAAATTAATTAACCTCGCCGAAGTTATCATACATGAATCGCGATTTCAATCTTATTTGATCTCATTAGCACGCCATAGGTAACCTCGATAAATCACCTACCAAACCGAAGATGTTCCACATAAGCATGTTTATATTTAACTAGATTTTATACAGGGTAGTTTTTAAATAATTGCATAGTTTGCAGGAGGTGATAGGGTACTATCATCATCATAAGGTTATCAGTCGTAAGACTGGTTGGATACGCACCTAAAGTCTTTTCTATCCTGAGCTAATCTTCGCATTACCCTAAAACTAGAACAACCCACATCCTTAACTATTTGCGAACAGTAATCTAATCTAGATCCACCTCTACCCCTCCTAACTCCTGTTTCTGCCTCTAATATGTCTCTGACTAGACCTTCATGCCTGAGAAGGTGTCCTACCAACCTATCTCGTCTATTTTTTATTGACTTCCATAGAGTCCTCTGTTCTCNTGCGATTTTTTTTAATAGATAGAGTAATTCAAGAGGAAGGTTTATATGTATAATACATGCATAATATAGAAGAGAAACACTGATAATTTTAAAGGTTTGTAATGTGATGTCGTAAATAACACATTTTTTTTGCGCTTACATTGCAAACGCTGGGTGAACCCTACGAGATAGATCAAAATAATATACTACAGTATTATACACCTTAAAAAGGTCTACCAAAAAGTCCCGGATGGTATATGTCTATCTCTTAGGGATAACCCACAATGAGCTTTTTTAACCTTTACTTTTTACGAGAAATAATGGCTGTTAAACAACAGCCTTTCGCTTTATTGAGGAGTCGGTTAGAACTCGTGTCGGCAGGGTGTCGATATTGTCACCTTCTAAGAAAAAGCTACATCTGGGAGTAGTTTAAAATCAAATAAGGGTGACAAGCATAGAAAAATAAGTTTTTAAAGACAGTTCCTGTTGAGAGGTCACATCGAACACATTGTATAAGTTAGCCATTAGTTTTCAGTAGTTAAGAGAGTTAAATTGTAATTGTTAAAGTGTAAATAATAAACTAAGTTAAAGCAGTTCACAGTTTTAGTCAATCAATTTTAAGATATATTTCAATCAAACATACGAGACAAAGCCAGCAGTGCTTAAGTTAAAAGCACCACTATTTAGCATATTTTTTTTTTGCTAAACATACAACAATGGCTTATTTACGAATCGATTTTAAGCAATACAGCATTAATCCTTATCCAATTAAGTACTTTTAAATACATTGTGCATTTAATATAGATCAATATTATAGCCTTTTACAGCATGTAATTTAAATGAATATTTTCGAAGATATTACAGACTTAAAATGCAGGGATATAGCGCTGCGGCGGTACCGGTTGGTTTGTATTGTCTAATGACAAATAAGCTGTGATTGTTGTATATAAAGGCATTCTATGGTATATTTACTATCAGCATTGCACCCGTGCGAAACACAGTGTACAAATAATACCATTAAACCAATTCCTTAACCCCTATCCCGGTATATTTGTGTGTTTGAAGGAGTTTCACTTTAGTAGCGTGTTGTATAATTACACGTTGTATTTTTTTTTATTTATAAATAGTCGTGGTATGTAATTCAGGTATAAATTAACTTTTACTAAATATCTATTATAGAAGCCCTAGAGTTTTCCCTGTCGTCGAGTATTTAGGTTTATGTCCTTTTTGTTGACGCCTCGTCCACTCAGTACTAGCAAAGACACTTGCCTCCAACTAATCGCCGAAAGTGCTTTGCTAACATTCTTTACTTCTTTTGTAGTTTCGATACACAGCGAAATTGAGTTTCGTAATTGGTAGTTCGTGAACCCTTTGTCGTTTTATTCGTACTGAAAAGTTACCTATCATTTCACGAAATGCTGTAATTGCCTTATCAATTAAGTTCTTTGTGCGATAAAACCAAAGCAGGTTGCTAGCAAAATAATCGATCGTTTTTAGAAAGGTAATAACCTGCTACTGAGTGCTACTAATATGTATATAGCAGGAATATTCCGTAAATTTAAAAAGAAAAGGAACAACACCCGATTGTAGATTAAATAATAAAATACGAAAACTATTTTCCCTTCGTTTTACTTCCTTTTTATCCTGATGTTGTGTTACTACAAAAATTTCCATTTATTTTTCTGAAGTAGAAAAGAATATGATAAAATAGACAAGTAAATAAAAGCTTTATCGAATTCTTGTCATTCGGTTAACTCAGAAATCATTTTTGTCTATGACAGTCGCATGTTACTTGTTAACTGTCAATGTCAGTTTTTGTTTATGAATAGTGATATGACAAGTATTTGTGCTTTAGGGGCATTATTTAGTCTAGTTAATTTTTTCACTTAATGTATCTCAAAGGAAACAGTGTAATTTTTATAAAGGTATTATTAGTAAAGATTTAGTATAATATTATACCTATTACAAAATACGTTTCAGTACGTACAAATTAGCATTCCTTGTACCTATTTTCATGATGATTAAATTAATGAATATTAAATGAAACTAAAAGAAAACTCGGGAGTATCATCAAAATTTTTAAAATAATAATTAGAAGTGAATTTCTTTTAGTCTTAGGTTCTTGTTACAGTCTTATTTATTACTCTTGCTTCGTTAAGATAAATATCAACTTAAGTACAAATTACGACGAGAATGCTGGTAGTATCCCCAACGAAACATATATTTTATATTTAGTCCCGTATCAAAAGATTTTCATGTACTGCATTGGAGACTTTCATTGTTCTTCGTATCATCTACGGCAATTTAGTACATTACAAATTTGACATTGAAAAAACAATTTAATCGCAATAACGTTTGAAGCTACATGAACCAATATTTTCCTCATTTCAGGTGTAACATCGACCGGTTCATGTTAATATCAACGAATGGTTAAAGTTCAAGAAGAGGTGGCGATGGCAGAGCCGAAACCTGCTGTCGTAGCCACCCCTGACCGTACATTACACTCTAACAACAATAGCAACAGCGTTAGTAATAACAGTATCCCGACAAACCTTCAGACCCCAAGAAAACCCCGTACCCACAACCACCCCCATCACCGCCATCACCATCACACCTTTCCCCAACATCCCTTTTACTACCATTTTTATTATCCTACAGAGAATTCCGAATCTACTAACAGTTCTAATAATAGTGGCAATTCGCCGGCAAAGTTTTATTTCGGTCCCGGTTTCGAACCACAATCTCATCTACAGACAGGCTACGGTGCCGGTCCTAGTCAAGGTGGAACCAATAGTGAATATATTGTCCTTTTCCACGTTAATCCAGGCGTCACAATCAGCTTCCAGACAGGAGACAGTTTTGAAGTTTTACGAGGTAAGAACATTTGTATTTACTTTTTTGAAAGATTGATATTTAATAATGATTTTGCTTTAAATATCCTCGTTCCTTAATTGATTCCGCTACAGTCCATCTACAAAATACTTACGAAATGTTCATCTGCAAGAACTTTTTGTCCAAAATTTTTACGAAAATACATACATTCTTAACCTCACTCACCCGTGAACCGTGTGACCAAATCGTCCCGCGCTACTGCTTAATGTCTATTGTTTGTTTACTACCATTTCACGCATTATCTACTTAACCGATCATCATGAAATTTTGTACAAACATTATCAGGACGGAAGGAGTAATAGGGATATAAAGCAGAGAATAGCGCAAAAGATGTTACTTCTATGATCGCGAACGGTTCATTTAGAAATTCAAAAAGGATTGTTAAGGTGTATGTTTGGAGCGCGGCGCTGTACGGGTGCAAAACATGGACGGTGGGCGCTGCGGAAAAGAAAAGGTTAGAAGCGTTCAAAATGTGGTGTTACAGGCGAATAATAAGGATACCGTGGATAGAGGTTAGAAATGAAGAAATATTAGAAAGAATTAGAGAACAGAGGACTCTATGGAAGTCAATAAGAAATAGGCGAGATAGGTTGGCAGGACAGGCCTGGTCAGAAACATATTAGAGGCAGAAACGGGAGTTGAGAGGGGTAGAGGTAGACCTAAATTAGAATACGGTTCGCAAATAGTTAAGAATGTGGATTGTTCTAGTTTTAGAGAAATGCAAAGATTAGCTCAGGGTAGGAAAGAGTGGAGGTGCGTGCCCAAGCATTCTTAGGACTGACGACCGTATGATGATGATTAACAGTATACTGAAAAGGTACATTTTTTTCAGAAAAAAAATACAATTCCCGAGGGATAGAAAAATTTCTTTATTTCTATAAAGAAAGACAGTATTTTCTGTCATTCTACGAAATGCCTAGGAAATTCTAAGCTTTAGTTTTATCGTGATGGTCCTGGTCAATACTATTTATCAAATTATTGTACATATTTTTGATGATCTTTGAAAAGTATTTAGGACATCAACGCGAGCAAAGCCGCGGGTAAAAGCTTGTAATCTATAAATGACAATTTAATACACTCAAAACACTTTACTAACTGGTTCCGAATATAATTTAGATTACACACTCACGATTGTTTAAAATTGCACTGTTACTTTGTCAATACATCCTTAAACGGCATTGTTGTGCGCAACAAGAGAACATTCAATTAATTGTCTTTTACATTGGCGCTTTGATTACAAAACGTAGTAAACCTTTACAGATTTCAGTTTTCCTGGTTAATTACATTAAATGAAAGATTGTTCATTATTATTTTCTAATAAATTGTAAGTTAAATTGACTTACAAACCAATAATCATTTAAAAATATAAACTTTTTGACTTTTTCTCTATTTTGGTTGTTTCATTTAGTAATAAATTGTGTTTGTGCTCTGTTTCATGCGGATGACACATCATTATATTAAGACCCTTCTATAAATTGTTTAAAACTGGGTTTTACCGGTAAAGAATTACCTACTTTTTTACCCAATTTAGTTATTGTTTATTTCGGGACTTTGACGTTTAGCCATACTTTGATTTAATGTTATTATAGACAGAAATTACTAAAAAACAAAAGAGCACGGAGCAATGTAAAAGTTTTTTTTGTGTTGTGTAGCTCTTGAAGGTTAAATGGTTGCCCTACTGTAATGATAACAACCCTCCAAGCCATAACCTTACTTTCGGAAAGTAAAAAAACAAAACAGATAACAGCCATATTTAAAATCTCATACACTTTCCATTAAACTGTTCATAGTCAAAAGCATCATGCTTGTAACCCAGTTAATGATTAAATAATTACAACTGTTGCATTTCGAACGGCTTAAGCACGATAGCTGATATCTGCCATCAACTGTAATAATAGTGTAGAAGTTTTCTCTCATTCGCTATTGCCACATCGAATGCAAATAAACCTAAATATGCAAATGTACCCACATAAGTATACATAACACCAAACAAATGAATTCCTCTGTACATCGTGATTTTGCGTTTCATAATTCCAGAAAATCGGTTTTAATGCTCATACCTTTATGGAGCACGACATAAATCCCTGACATAAAATAACGTACTATTAAACAGGTGTGCTAGTGCACTCTGTTTTACTAAATACTGTTAAAATTTTCTGCTAATATTATTCAATTGTAATTCTTCCAAAGAGCCCAGCGATAAACATAATACTTCTACCGAAATATGAAGTCGTAGGTAGCAATTATTAATATATATACTATGACATATTTTGATTTCTACCAAATCATTTACAAAGCGTAAGGCAATAGTTTCATAAAAATAAACATCCCCAGTAGCACACGACATTGGCCCAATATTTATTCTTTGGTGCTATATTGTATATGGGCCCAATATTGGCAATTTATAGCCAATATTGGTAATATATAGGAGGTATACATTTTTCGTATATTTTAATGCAATGTTTATCCGATATTGATCCAATATTAATAAAAGATTTTTGGCAATAACTTTTATTTATATTGATATGTAATATTTATCCAATATTGGCAATATATACAAGGGATGTACCTTTTCCTTTATTTATATAGAATATTTATCCAATACTGACCCAACATTGAAAAAACATCTTTGACAAAATTGAGTCCATATAAAGACACTTTGCCCGGCGCTTGGGTACCAAAATTCTTGGAAGATTGATGGTTAACTTTTAGGTCGCCTAGAAATTGCAACCTAACGTAAACTAACCGTTGGCTAATATTGGTAATATATAGGAGATGTACCTTCTTCCTATATTTTAATACAATGTTTATCCGATATTGATCCAATATTAGTAGAAGATATTTGGCAATAACTTTTATTTATATTGATATGCAATATTTATCCAATATTGGTAATATATATAAGGTTTGTACTTTTTTATATAGAATATTTATCCAATATTGATCCAACATAGATACAACATATTTGGCAAAATTGAAAGTCCATATAAAGACACTTTTCCCGGCACTTGAGTACCAAAATTCTTGGAAGATTGATGGTTAATTACAGACATTGAAGTCAATGGTATCTGTTGAGATTTGTCGCTAATATATCAATATCTTACCCTGTTAAACATTGATGAACCCACAATTACACCGCGCGTATTGTTTGCTTAGGGTTAGGTTAAGTTATGTTCGGACAAAAAAATACCCCTTCGAATTTAATGTATGATCATTGATTTTTTTGAAAAGTTATCTACCTTAATACGGTCTGTTATAGTCAAGTATCAGTAAATTTCCTAAATTAAATTTCCTAATTAAATAATAAACACTTAAAAGTTTCATACTCTTTGCTGTTTACGAGCGATTTTTTGAAGATGGTTAATGATAGCTAATATCCATGTACATTTTTTATAACACTTATAGTTCCTACATTTTTTATTTAATTCACATTATGGTTTCTAATCTTTGAATCCACACACGATAAGGTCAGTTTGACTATGACTGCAAAACAGAATTAAAGACGACCGATTTTATATGAAATGAAATAAAACAAAAAACATTACCACAAGTTTAAAATCATCAGATCTATGAAGTGATGATCTTTTGATTACGATCGAAGGTATTTAGATCCTAATCAGAAGATGCTAGCGAAACGTTAGCAAGCATGAGTAGCGAGAGCCTTTTCCGCATCCAGCATCGGAGATGGCAGGACCTCTGAAGAAGTACAACCGACGACGGCCGTTAGACCCAAATCACAACATCATCTAGATTATCTATCATTTTAGATTATCTATTTCCAAGGAGTTTAGAATTTTTTGGGCTCTCTTCAGTTAAAGAATTAGAAGGCATTCATGGAATGTCTCTTTGTCCTCTTTTTAAACTTCTAATACCTTCAATGGCCAATGTGAGCAGCTTTCATTCATTTGATCGGTGATACTAGCAAAACGCAAAGATATATTTTGCATTTTACAAAAATAAAATACGTTTGGAAGAGTATTTTAAATAAAATGGTTTTCTCGAAAAAGTATTTAAATGTGAGATGGAAATTGGTATATCTTATTTTATATTTGCCTTTTAAATATAAGTATTTCAAATAAATCACATCTCTGCACATCACACGACGACTTCTCGATATATTTTACATAAGTACATAAAACTGAAGTATTTAATGAAGTACTTTTATCGATCAAATGGCACTCACTGTTTTGATAATCATTTTAATTCACACAAAAGTGTAAATATGAGAAGATGTGATGGTTGCATCTATACGTAGAAGCATCGTGAACATGACAAAATAACGCAATCGTTTGTAGAATTTCGCAAAGGTAAAACGTCTGCGTGGTTATGCACGTAGAGTCGCAATCGGTTAAAGTTTGCGCACAAACCTCAGGTTAATGTGATGCAGCAAAAACATTTTCAGTTTTATTAACCATTAAATGTAGCCTCGCTGTTAATGATAATTGTCTTACGAATTCCGCAACGCCCACGTTCACTCTCTGGCCAGCTGTTGACAATAAATTCCCTTTACTCTCTTACCTATACCTTGGACGTATTGTACAGGGTTTGTCCGGAAAGTAATAGGACTGATTTCCTTCCGCCGCGACTGTACTTCGGAGCGTGTGCGCACCGACTGGATTCGGTAGAGGGTATTCCTAGGTAACGAACGAGCCGCTTGTGAGTTGTCTCCGAGCACCTGGAGAGTCAGAACAGACTTTTTCGCGCGACGTGTTTCTGTGAGTGGTGCAAGCCGAAAATGCAGCGTTCGTTAGAGCAGAGGTGCGCGATTAAATTCTGTGTGAAACTCGGTAAATCTGCGACAGAGACGTTTGATATGATCAAGTAGGCTTACCCAGGTGTTGCTTTAGCAAGAAGTGGTGTTTCGCTGGCACCAGGCCTTTTCAGAGAGCCGGGAAGAGGTCGCCGATGAAAACCGTGCTGGAAGACCTTCGACTTCGACAAACACCGACAATGTGACTCGTGTGCGCGAAGTTTTGAAATCA